CCATGGCTCTGCGCAGTGACCGCCCCATCTCGCCGGCGACCGGAGGGGGTGTGTGACCACGGGAGATGCTGCGACCGGGGCGACGGGGTGCTACCACGGCGACACTGATGCAACCCGTGGAGGCCAGGGTGTGTGACGGCGATGACCGAGGTGACCGCGGGCTGCAACCATGGCTTTTCCATCGCCGGTAGCCGGTTGGAGCTTTTTCTATATACGGTTGAAGCTTTCTTTATCAATGTTTGCAACTTTTTCTCTGGGTCACTGGTCTGGTTGAAGCTTTTTTTTCTTAATGGATGAAGCTTTTTTATACACGATTGAAGCGTTTCCAAACCACAGTCGAAAGTTTTCTAAAAACGATGGAATTTTTTTTTCGTTTTTTGTGTTTGCTACAACCACGCATTTTTTGCTGCAATCGGCAACCACAGAAGCTACATCCGGTTAACATTTTTGCTACAATAACGACGTCGGGCTGCAGTGGTAAGCTTTTTTGCTGTAAGCGATAAACTTTTTTGCTACAACTGGTGTCGTTTTTTGTTGGAACCAGCAAGAGCCTCGGGGGGGGGGGGGCACACGTCGAGGTACAACACGAGCACAACGACAGGTGCTGCGGCCGGCGCCACCGGAGATGCGGCCATCTCCCCCGGAGCTGCAAGCCTGCACCCACGAGTGCAACCATGGGCGCACGCTGCTGCTGCATCCACGGAGGTGAGAAACGCATGAAGGCGGCATAGGTGAGGGCAGCGACCGGCGGTGAGGAGGCGAGGCGAGGCAGTTGGCGTGTGTGGAGGCGGGCCTCTCCTTTTTTTCCGTGCGGGGGGTTGAAGATGTGAGAGGTTGGGGACGAAGGGATCTAACGGCTCGGGGGGCCCATATCTGACGGCTAGGGCTTGACCGGCCCAACGATTAGGCCGGTGCGCTGGCGCAGATCGCTGCACTTTAACTATTCATATGTCTTCTATGGTAAACTTTTGAGCTAAATTTGGCACCAGCAGTACACTGCTAACATTAACATGGGGTAACTTTTTTTAACAACCATAAAAAAACATGGTGAACATCTGTTAGGATTGGGTGTTATTTTTATTTTTTTTGAAACAAAAGTTTCGATGGTTGGATTTTGATTTGTCTTCTCCTCCCCCCTACCCTCCTGCTCCTCCGCTGCTGCTGCTCCACCGGCGATTCGTCGGAGATAGTGAAGGCCATCAGGGTCCACGACCTCGGCACCCCGAGGTAACCCGGCCGAGCCCCTCCTCGTATTTTTCCGGGCGGGGCGGCTTCTCTCCTCTAATCGATTTCTGATGCGCAGGCGCTGAGGTGGGAGGTGGGGACGGCGAGATCCGGATCAGGAACACCGCCGTCGGAGATGGTGACGTCTACTTCCGCTCCGCTCCCCCTCAACCCAACCCAACCCTAAAACAGGTTTCCACTAGATTGATTGATTTATGATATCTTGCTGCTGCTGATGAAACTGAAGAAACCAACACTGTTCACTCAAACCTTCATTCTGTCACTTACCTACTAGGTTCAGAGATGTCTCGAGCCATGCCCAGACATTTCAGTCGATACACCATAAGTTTGCTTGGATACTCACACACAAAGTTACTCATTGTTATTGCTCACTAAACACAAGACCAAATAAATAAATGGTTTGATTCGTCTTACTGCTCCAGAATCGGTGCTCTCTTGTGTATATATCATCAGAGTACTGTATTGCGTGCTTGTAGCAGTACTGCTGAACACAAGTCAACTGAGTCACACGAATTTCATGATTTTGTTTAACTAGTAGCTAGCCAGGATTCTACTTGGCGATGTTTCGAGTAAATTACTGGAGGATAATAGTTTGGTAGTATTTTCTCTGGCATAACAGACGCTTTTATTAAGATTATAACTCTGTTACACTACAGTTCGTATTGATGTTACGGGACTGTTGCAAAGTTTCTAAGTTAGCTAACATTTTAATCTGTATATGCTAGAGGACTGATGAATCATTATTCATTTGTGCTGGTTTATAAATTATTATTTTTGTATAATTATCTAAAATCAAAATATGGGTGGATGCTGATATCAGTTTTTCATTTCTCTGAAGCTCCTTTTGATCCGAGCAGAATTGGAGATGCAACGCCTGCCAGGCGACCCAGTACAAGCTCCCCAGTCGTTGGATTTGATAAAATCCCAAATGAAGAAGATCTTCCAGGGCCACATTGAAGGCATCCATCAGAATACTTCACAGCTAGAGCTGCAGCATCAACATCCAGGGGAGATATTCACACGCAAGCATCCCCAATTATTTTACTGCTGTATATAGTTCAGTTTAGTGTTACAACTGTAAAAATAAAAGGAGCATACAGTACATAATTGACGCTAATGTCGTTTGCTGCTGATTTACATGTGAAGGCCTTAGCTCCTGACAGCTATCTTGATCCCTAAGCCGTCAACACAACGGAGAAAACAAAATTTCCACTGCTCCAGAAAGAACAGAGCTCCAAACCAAAGCCAGAAGCCGAAAACGATGCCAAGAATCACAGAGTAACACAGACCAAGGTCTCTGAGCTTTGTGTGGTCTTCAGCTCTCTTTCCCGACGTGGGCTCACACACGCTCAACGGGAAGCCGCAGAGCCCCTGATTGTTGCCATATATTGATGGATCTGCAAGTGTCTGTAACTGGTTCCCAGTGGGTATGTGGCCCTCCAAGCGGTTGTTTGAGAGATTTAGCATGCTGAGGGACGGCAGATTTGAAATGCTGGGAGGAACGCCACCTGAAAGTTCATTGCATGAGAGGTCAAGGAACTCCAAGAGCTCCAAACTGCCGATTCTTTCAGGAATGCTGCCCGACAGGTCATTTCTGGACAAGTTCAGAAACCGGAGACCCTTCAAGTGTGTTAGCTCATCCGGGATGTTCTCTGTAAGTAAATTGCATGATAGATCGATACCTGTTATTAACCCGATGCCGTTCCAAAAAGTTTGTTCACGGCCCTTCCAAGATATGTTGACTCTACCAAGATGGAAAACCTGATCAGGGTCAAATGGGGGAAGATTATGCCTCATGGAGGTCAAGTTGCCGAAGGCTACCGGAATTGATCCTCTCAAGCTATTTTTGGCCATATCGAGCAGTTGAAGTTGCGAAAGCCTCGATAACTCAGGGGGGATTTCTCCGGTGAAATTGTTTGATCTAAATCTAAGGATTTTCAATAATGGAAGGTGACTCCCGATCCATGTTGGGATACCACCAAAGAACAGGTTGTTCCCGATGTCCAGGTTGACCAGTGAGTTGCAGCCTTGCAGGAACAGTGGGAAGGTGCCTGCAAAGCCATTGCCGGCCAGATGGACCGATTTGAGAGAGCAGTTTTGGTTTGCCACGGCCATGAGGATCTCACCTGAGAAGGAGTTGCTGGACAGGTCCAGGACTTCCAGATCAGAAAGTTGGGATAACTCGGGTGGAACGACACCACTGAAGTTGTTGGATGGGAGGCTCAGAATTATTAGAAGAGGGACACTGGTTCCAACCCAAGAGGGGATATCACCAAAGAACATGTTGTTCCCAAGATCTAGAATGATGAGATCTCTGCAGGTTTCAATGACGGATGGAAAAACTCCAAGAAAGCAATTGTTAGCAAGAAAAAGTGACTCGAGTTTAAGGTCCAGGCTCGTTGATATAGGAAGTTCACCTGAAAAGCTATTGTTGGACAAATCCATAGTCAACAGAAGTTTGAATTCCCACCAGCAACTTGGGAGCTCCCCGGTGAATTGGTTATTTGATAGATCCAGAGTCAGGAGAGAGGTCAATGCGCAGAAGGTTGCATCAATATTGCCAGATATTCGGTTATCCTTCATGTTTAAGTGTTGAAGATTTGTGCACATTGACCAGTCAGACGACAACTTCCCTGTCAGCTGATTCCCAGAGACATCAACGTTCTCCAAGTTGGGATGGACACCAAACACCTCAGAGATGTCGCCGGTGAATTGGTTGCCATGCAGCCACACCCAGGACAGCTCTCTGCAATTTTTCAAGCAGGGCGGCAGCCTACCGCTGAAGTTGTTGTCTTTCGCCATGAAGAACTGCAGCGCAAGGCCATCACACAGTCTCTGCGGCAGCTCGCCAGAGAAGCTGTTGTTCTCGAAAATTACATCGGCTAATCTTAGCCCCTTTCCGAGGTCCGGTGGTAAGGTACCGTTGAAGTAGTTGTTATGTAGGGCAAGGTTTTGGAGATTCCTGAGCGACGTGATGGTAGCGGGCAGCTCACCTTCCAAACTGTTGGTGTTGACGTCCAAGACTTGCAACGCTGTCATGTTGCCAATCTCCGGCGGGATCGTGGCACTGAGCTGATTGGAGGAGAGCACCAGGCTCGTGAGCTGCCTGAGGTTGCCAAACGAGCTGGGGATCTCTCCAGTGAGAGAGTTGTCCGATAAATCCAACTCTTCCAGGTTCACCAGCTCGCCCAGCTCTGCAGGGATAGAGCCGACAAGCTTGTTGCTGAAGAGATACAAGATTTTCAGTTTGGTTGCCTTGCCGAGGTCCGGTTGAATCTTCCCTGAAAACGAGTTGGACTGCACTTGGAACGATATGAGCTCTGGCCAGTGCATGAACAAAGCCGGTGGAATCTGACCGGTGAGTTTGTTGTATGCTACTGATAACTCCTGCATTTTGCGCAACCTGGCCAACTCCGCTGGCAAGCCACCGGTGAGCTGGTTTAAGGACAGGTCCACAAATTTGAGATTGCCAAGGTTGCCCAACTCAGGTGGAATAGTGGAAACCAAACTGGCGTTCCCGATGTCAAGGTGCTGTAGCATTTCGAGCCGGCCAAGAACCGGCGGGATCGACCCGCCAAGCGGGTTGCCACCGAGTCCGAGAGCCCTCAGCTGGGACATGGAACCAAGGAACTCGGGGATTCCACCTATCAGCTCGTTATTGCCAATCCGCAGGTCCTGGAGCTTCCCCAGCTTCGACAGCGACGCCGGTATCTGCTCAGAGAAGGCATTGAAGGACAGGTTGAGGTACACGAGGTTGGGGAGGCTCTCCGGCAGCGAGTCCGGTATCGGGCCAGACAGAGTGTTGCGCGACAGGTCTAGGTAGGTGATGCTGCTGCTCTTGAGGATGAACTCTGGGAAGCTGCCGTTGAGACGGTTGAAGTAGAGCGACAGGAAGGTGACGGTGGGCATGGGCAAGAACTTGCTGTAGTCCGGGTTGGTGAGGTAGTTGCTGCCCAGGTCGAGGTGCACAATCCTCGGGAGCCTGCTGAGCTGGTGCGGGATGTCGCCGACGAGGGTGTTGTTGTAGAGTCGGAGGTCGACGAGGCCGGAGAGGTCGCCGAGCTGCGGCGGGATGGAGCTATTGAAGCCATTGTTGCCAAGGTCGAGCTTGACGAGGGACCGCAGCTGCGAGAGGCTTGCCGGGATGGCGCCGGTGAGGTTGTTGTTGTTGAGATCGAGCGCGGCCAAGGCCGGCAGCGCCGCAGCGTCCAGTGCACCCAGCGTGCCGGTGAGTCCCCGGAGCCTGAGCGACGTGACGCGGCCGGCGTCGTCGCAGGCCACGCCGAGCCAGGAGGAGCAGACCGGCGTGGCCAGAGTCCAGCTGGACAGCGCGGCTGGGTGGCCGAGGCTGGCCTTCCATGCCAGAAGGGCGCCGGCCTGCGTGGGCGCCGCGGTCACCGCCGACACAGTGGCCGCCAGCAGGAGTAGGAGGAGCACCACGGTGGCGTGGAGGAGGTGCGCGTACGCCGGTCTCGCCATGTCCCTGACGGAGAGTCTGTGACGCTGCTGCTGGGGTAGCAACGCGCTAGCATAGAGGTGGAGCGTGGGGTGGCATGCACCAGTTGACTTCCACCGTCGTGGTTGACTGACCTCGAACCATGGGATGGGGATCTCCTTTGCACCGATCCTTGGACTTTGGCATTGATTTGGACATGAATTGTCTGGATTATTTTTGAGTAATGTTAGACTGACATCGCAGAGCAATGATACCCACTGTTCGCGGAAACAAGAGTTGAGTTTATTCTGCTTCTGTCTGCCTCCGTTGAATTGAATCTACTTAGGGTTCCATGCATAAGCTGGCTCTCAAAGGCTTTTTTTCAAGAAACTTACTAGTAGTACGAATTATTGAGCAAGGTTGAGTGTCGGAAGATATTACTCCCTCCTTCCCAAGATATTTATTTCTGATCTTCATCGACTGTGATTTTTTAATTACCGTATGTATACAGTTACTGTAAAGACTTGTGCAATAAAATTGACAAATACGATGATAGTACCATTTATGCATATTCAATCCATTAAAATGTTTGACTGACATTGCAGAGCAATGATGCCCACTGTTCGCGGAAACAAGAGTTTACTCTGCTTCTGCCTGCCTTCGTTGAATCTAATTAGGGTTCGATTCATAACCTGGCTTCGTTGAGTCTAGTTTGTAAATTCACGAACATTACCTTGTGCATGCTGGTGAGTTATTTTTCATTTGTGCTCTGCTTGTGTATTTTTCTTTCATATTTTTCTAAAAGCTAAACAAGGGTGGACGCTGATATTAGTTTTTCATTTCTCTAAAGCTGCTTCTGATCCGAGCAGAGTTGGAGATACAACGCCTACCAGGCGAGACAGTACAAGCTCTCCAGTTGTTGGATCTGATAAAATCCCGGATGAAAAAGATCTTCCCAGGGCCGCATTGAAGGGCATCAACATCCGGGCCGCGGCGAGATATTTACACCCAGGCACCCCTGTTCGGGGACGAGCAAGTTCGGGGAGGTCACATACAGAGGTGACTGGATGAAGAGGCCCATCTCAGAGACTGTAGTGGCCCTGGCTCTCGAGGAATCTGATCCGCCTCTCTGACTGGCTGAACGACGCCCTTCGACTTAGCCGCTAGCCCAACGTACATCAAGTTTGACCAGCCGGAACGAGCTGACCACCATCTGGGGGGTGAAGGACGCCGCGAGGATGGCCCTCGTCGCTGTCTGTTCGCTGCTTGCGGTTATGGGGCAGGCAGTGTTGAGGTTCATGAGGGCGCACAGGGTGAAGATCAACCTGAGAGTTTTTGCTTCGAAGATGCTGTTGGCGGGCTTTTTGTTGCTGTATGCGTTGGTGGTGGGGACGAGGAGAGCTTTTAATTGAGCTTTACATGTGTCGCTTCCAGCACCAGCGCCGCTGCTAATGCTTCAGTGATCTTCACAGAAGCTCCCAAAGTTGGAGATGCTGGTGCATGTGATGTACAAAACCGATAGGAAGGAAGGATAAGATGGAACTCACAAAGGGATCAATTTGTTAGGTGTGTTTGCCGTGGAGACTGAGGGCAAGAGGACGGCGCCTGTTGGCTGGGTTCTTGTTAGAGAAGTGCCTGGCAACGGGCCAACGGTACTTGTCAGGTTATACTGTTTCGATGGGCCCTAATCCTAACCCTCCTGCTGGTGGTTGTGTTCCGTCCGGTACCAGCCTCAAACATTGCTCTGGAATTGTAGGCAGGTAACAAAACTACATCTGTAGTAATATTACCCAATTATTTTACTGCTATAGTCCAGTTTAGTGTTACAGCCGTAAAAAAAAGCAGCATACAGTACATAATTGATGCTAATGTCGTTTGCTGCTGATTTACATGTGAAGGCCTTAGCGCCTGACAGCAGCTATCTTGATCCCTAAGCTGTCAACAAAATCGAGAAAGGAAAATCTCCACTGTTGCAGGAAAAGCAGAGCTCCAAACCAAAGCCAGAAGCCGGAAACAATGCCAAGAATTACAGAGTAACACAGCCCCAAGTCACCGACTTTTGAGTGATCTTCAGTTCCCTCGCCCAATGCAGGCTCACACACGCTCAATGGGAAGCCACAGAGCCCCAGATTGTTGCCATATATTGATGGATCTGTGAGTGTTTGTAACTGACTCCCGGTAGGTATGCGGCCCCATAAGTGATTGTTTGAGAGATTTAACATGCCCAGGGACAGCAGATTTGAAATGCTAGGAGGAATGCCACCTGAAAGGTCATTGCTTGAGAGGTCAAGGAACTCCAATAGCTCCAAACTGCCGATTCTTTCTGGAATACTGCCTGATAGATCATTACTGGATAAGTTCAGAAAACGGAGACCTTTGAGGTATGTTAGCTCATCCGGGATGTTCTCCATAAGTAAATTGCATGATAGATCAATACCTGTTATTAACCCGATACCATTCCAAAAAGTCTGTTCACGGCCCTTCCAAGATATGTTGACTCTTTCAAGATGGAAAATCCGACTTGGTTGGACCAATGGGGGAAGATTATGCCTCATGGACTTCAAGTTGCCAAAGGCTACCGGAAGTGATCCTGTCAAGCTATTTTTGGCCATATCGAGCAGCTGAAGTTGTGAAAGCCTCGATAACTCGGGGGGGATATCTCCGGTGAAATTGTTTGATCTAAGTCTAAGGATATTCAATAATGGAAGCTGACTCCCGATCCATGTAGGGATACCACCAACGAACCGGTTGTTCCCGATGTCCAGGGTGGCCAGGGAGTTGCAGCTTTGGAGGAATGGCGGGAAGGCGCCCACAAAGCCATTGCCAGCGAGATGAAACGACTCGAGAGAGCAATTGTGGTTTGGCATGGCTGTGAGGATCTCACCTGAGAAGGAGTTGCTGGACAGGTCCAGGACTTGCAAATAAGAAAGTTGGGATAACTCGAGATGAGATGACTTGAGAGAGCAATTGTGGTTTGGCATCACCATGAGGATCTCACCTGAGAAGGAGTTGCTGGATAGGTCCAGGACTAGCAGATTAGAAAGTTGGGATAACTCGGGTGGAACGACACCACTGAAGTTGTTGGATGGGAGGCTCAGAATTATTAGAAGAGGGACATTGGTTCCAACCCAAGAGGGGATATCACCAAAGAACATGTTGTTCCCAAGATCTAGGATGGCGAGAGATCTGCAGGTTTCAATTACGGATGGAAAAACTCCAAGAAAGCTATTATTAGCAACACGAAGTGACTGGAGTTCAAGGCCCAAGCTTGTTGATATGGGAAGTTCACCTGAAAAGCCGTTGTTGGACAAATCCATTAACCACATACTTTTGAGTTTCCACCAGCAACTTGGGAGCTCCCCGGTGAATTGGTTATTTGATAGATCCAGAGACCGGAGAGAGATCAATTCGCAGAAGGCTGCATCAATATTGCCAGATATTCGATTACCGTTCATGTTTAAGAGTGTAAGATTGGTGCATTGTGACCAATCAGATGATAAGTTCCCTGTCAGCTGATTCCCCGAGACATCCAAGTAGTCCAAGTTGGGATGGACACCAAACACCTTGGAGATGTCCCCGGTGAATTGGTTGCCACCTTCCAGCCGCATCCGGAACAACCGTGTGCAATTTTTCAAGCATGATGGCAGCCTGCCGCTGAAGTTGTTGTGGTTCACCGTGAAGTTCTGCAGCGCAAAGCCATCACACAGTCTCTGTGGCAGCTCGCCGGAGAAGCTGTTGTTTGCGAAACTGGCATCGGTTAAGCTTAGCCCCTTCCCAAGGTCGGGCGGTATGGTGCCGTTGAAGTTGTTGTCAAACAGGGCGAGGTATTGGAGATTCCTAAGCGATGTGATGGTGGCGGGTAGCTCCCCTTCTAAACTGTTGGTGTTGACATCCAAGACTTGCAACGCCGTCATGCTGCCAATCTCCGTCGGGATCACACCAGTGAGCCGGTTAAAGAAGAGCGCCAGCCTCGTGAGTTGCGTGAGGTTGCCGAGCGAGCTGGGAATCGATCCCGTGAGAGAGTTCACCGACAAATCCAACTGATTCAATCTCACAAGCTCGCCCAGCTCTGCAGGAATATGGCCAACAAGGTTGTTGCTGAAGAGAAACAAGATTATGAGCTTGGTTGCCTTGCCGATCTCTGGTGGAATCTTCCCTGAAAACGAGTTATTCTGCACTTGGAATGATATGAGCTCTAGCCAGCTCGTGAACAAAGCTGGTGGAATCTGACCGGCAAGTTTGTTCGACGATATGCCAAACTCACACATTTGGCGCATCCCGGCCAACTCCGGTGGCAAGCCACCTGAGAGCTGGTTCATGGACAGGTCGATAAAATTGACATTGTCAAGGTTGCCTAGCTCCGGTGGAATAGTGGAAACCAACCCGGCGATCTTGACGTCAAGGTGCTGTAGCATTTTGAGCCGGCCAAGAACTGGCGGGATCGATCCACCGAGCTGGTTCCCATAGAGAACGAGAACTCTCAGCTGGGACATGGACCCAAGGAACTCGGGGATTCCGCCCGTCAGATTGTTACCGCCAACACGCAGGTCCTGGAGCTTCCCCAGCTTCGACAGCGACGCCGGTATCCGCCCGGAGAAGGCATTGATGGACAGGTTGAGGTACATGAGGTTGGGGAGGTTCTCCGGCAGCGAGTCCGGTATTGGTTCAGAAAGAGTGTTTTGCGACAGGTCGAGGTAGGTGATGTTGCCGCTTTGGAGGATGAACTCCGGGAAACTGCCGTCGAGGTAGTTGAGGTAGAGCGAGAGGAAGGTGACGGTGGGCATGGGCGAGAACCTGTGGTAGTCCTTGTGGTTGGTGAGGAAGTTGGAGCCGAGGTCGAGGTGCGTGATCCTGGGGAGCCTGGTGAGCTGATGCGGGATGTCGCCGGCGAGGCTGTTGTTGTAGAGGCGGAGGTCGACGAGGCCGGAGAGGTCGCCGAGCTGCGGCGGGATGGAGCCGTTGAAGTTGTTGCTGCCGAGGTCGAGCGTGGCGAGTGAGCGCAGCCGCGAGAGGCTCACCGGGATGGGGCCGCCGAGTTTGTTATCGTTGAGGTCGAGCGCGGCCAGGGCCGGCAGCGCCGCAGCATCGAGCGTGTCCAGCGTGCCGGTGAGGCCGAGCCCCCGGAGCGTGAGCGACGTGACGCGACCGGAGGCATCGCAGGCCACGCCGCGCCAGGAGGAGCAGAGCGAGACCGGCGTTGCGTTGTTCCAGCTGGACAGCGCGGCCGTGGCGGCGAGGCTGGCCCTCCAGGTGAGAAGGGCGTCGGCCTGCTGCACCGTGGCGGCCGCTGTGGCCACTAGGGTCACCGCCAGCAGGAGGAGCGCGACGGCAGTGTGGGCCAGGAGGCGTGCATGGGCGGGCCTCGTCATGTCCGTGAGTGAGAAACAAACTGCAGCAGCCTGCTGGACATGATGACGCGGTAACATGTTGGGACTGGACATCATCATGGGTTCGGCCCCCAGCACGAGATGACTTGCCTTTTTTGACCATCCAAGAGAGCAGAGACCGCATTATTATTCACCTCCGCCGTAGCAAATCCGTGAGCAAAACGACCAGCCTGCATGCTTTCTTTTGTCTGGGGATGGGGACTAGAAAGACACCGCAAGTTCCCATCAACATCTTGCCTTTTGGTTTACACGAGTGCCAACCTCTTCAGCATGCACTCTCCACACCACCGGTCCACCGCGCACAGTCAGCTTCTTCCAAGCGGAGTAACTCCCAGATTGATCTTCACCCTGTGCGCCCTCTTGAGCCTCAGCACTTTATATAGAAGATCTACCAGTTCTGTGGAGGAAGACAAGACTTCCAATACCTGTGTAATCCAAGCAAACATGTAAGTGGCTGTATCATAACAAAACTTGTCTAGTATTTCAATAATTTATTCATCCAGTACTGTAGCTTGTCTCTTTTGCAGAAACCTCTGACCATTGACAAAACAATCATCACAGAAGATGAAGTGTTCAGCACAGAAATGTATGGCCTAATACTTGTCTTCTTGGACAGTACACAGTGAACAGAAAAGCTGATTGCTACAAGCACGCGATACTCTGACGAGCGTCATGTCAACGGCAAAACCGTGCCTGTCGCGGAAGAAATTTTAGCCGTTGACATGATGTCGAATTCTGCGTTTCAGAAGACACTTCTGTTGGAAATATTAGCACTTTTCTGATTAGACTTATCCACGAGTAAACAATAAGCATGGCATAAAAGGTATGCATCTCGTAGCGATACCTAAGCATACTATCACATACAGAACATAGAATCAAACACATATACAGCTAGCATAAGTACGAGTAAACGAGGGATGAACAGATCATACCCTTCGGTTGGCCAGGCCAACGCGGCGGCGGCAGCAACAGCCTCAGCGTCGTTCATGGCCTTCTTCTTGGAGGCGGCGTCGTCGGCCATGGTGTCGATGCAGGGGAAGTAGTGGAAGCAGAGGCGGGCGAAGTTGGGACGGATCGGGAGCAGTCGCGTCGAGACGCTTTCCAAAAACCTTATTGCCGTGCACGCGGTCGTCGGGATGGGATCGCCGAAAGCAGCACAGAGAGAGGAACAGTAACTGACGGCTAGGGTTGTACGAGAGGGAGTGAGTGAACTGAGTTAGAGTTCACTCCACTGGCCAGTGCCTTCTTATATAGGCCGTCAGGTAGATAGGCCTTCGCGCTTCGGTAAGCGACTCGTTAATTAATTAACAATTAATTAACCATTCCTGAGCGGCAAAAAGGCGAGCGGCGGAGGAGGAGGAGCACGCGTGTACAGCTCCTATTCCCAAGCTCCCAATAGCAAGTGATAGAGCAGCCCTTATAAAGAGGTCTTACTCTTCTTATTGTAGCAGTATGGGACTAAACTTTCCACACTTCCCACCGCTTGCCGTACACATGCATGGGCCTTAGAGATTAATCAGGGATTAGTGTCTTATATGGGCCTAAGCCCATCCATAATCCAACAACTTCCTTCTATATAAGTTTTTTGGTTCAGAGTTCTTCATTTTTTCTGCTCTGATTTGTTCATCAGTTTGTTACAAGTTAGTTAAAAAGTTAGACAAACCAGAAACAGTTGAAACAATGAGGAGCTCCCAGTTTAAAACATGTGGAACGAAACAGTCTTTTTTTATTTGAGAATCCAACCCTGCTCGAATTAACTCATGATATTGTCAGGGATACAGAGTTAGCGCATTCAGCGAACCAGGGTGCTGCGCTCGCTTCTTGGGCGCCCTAAACGGGCCGGCCCAGCCACAGAGAGGCACAGCCTTTTTTTCGGGTTTCTATTCTTATTTTCTGCTTTATTTTTGTACTTTTCTTTATGCTTTCAAATATTCTACATATATTACAAAAAACATTCTTCAAAAATACATTAAAAAATGTTGAATAAGTATTAGAAATTGTTGAACAAGTATTTGAAAATGTTGAATAAGTACTAAATATGTTGCACATGTATTTGAAAAATGTTAAACAAATATTTAAAAAATGTCGAATGAGAATTTAAAAAATGTTGAATAAGTATTAAAAATTTTGAACAAGTGTTTGAAAAATGGCGAATATATATTTAAAAATGTTGAACGAGTTTATGAAAAATGTTGAACAAGTATTTAAAAGATATTGAACAAGTATTAAAATATTGAACAAGTATTTTAAAAATGTTGAATAGCTATTAAAATGTTGGGCAAGTATTTTAAAAATGTTCAATAAGCCTTCGGAGAATGTTGAATGTGTACTAAAATGTTGATCACTTGTTAAAAAAAGGAGACGAAACAAAAGGCAAAAATCCAAAGACGAAGAAACAAAATGCAAGAAAGAATGAAAAAATTGAAGAAGAAAAAAAAATAAAAATAAAAGGAAAAACAGAAAAAATAGCTCCGAAAACATCAAGTAGGACACGACATACAAAGTTGGCAATTAAGTTGGGGCGCTGATCTGCGCCGGTGCGCCGGCCCAACTGTTGGGCCGGTCCAGCACCAGCCGTCAGATCCAGTGCGCTTCCCCGTCCGATCTGTCTGTTGACTTCCATCTCCTTCGTCCTCTTCGTGCGCTGCGCAGGCGCCGCCCCCTGCTCGCGTGGATGTCATCTCGGCCGCCGACCGCCACCACCTCGCCTGGAAGTCCTCCCTCCGCCGGTCCCCACCCTCGTCGCCGGTGCTTGCCGCCCTCGTCGCTGGTGCTCGCCGTCACAGCACACCGTCCTCGCCGGTTCCAGCAGGACGGCGTCGCCATCACGCCCAACGTCCCCTATCCTTGCAACACCTAGCCGTCGCCGCCATATCACGTCCGTCGCGGCACCACCATGTCGCCGGCCGCAACTCTGACCGCCGTCGTCGATGCTCGCTGCCCGAGGTTGCACGAACAAAGGCCGCCCAATCGACGCCATTTAGATGGATGTAGCAAAAACTTCGCCGGTGGTAGCAAAAAATAGCGACGGTTGCAGCAAAATCATTGTCGCCGTCGTCCAACGTCACATCTGCGTCATTAATGGATGTAGCAAATGTTCTCGTTGGTCGTAGCAAAAGCCGACGACCGTTGCAACAAAATAACCTCCGTCGTCGCGGGGATGTAGCTCCATCAACGAAACATACAGCCGGATGCAGCTTTCCATGGTAGCAAAAAATGTGTCGTTGAATGGATGTAGCAAACGAAAATCATCGGTCGTAGCAAAAAATGACAACAGTTGCAGCAAAATCATCGTCGCCGCCGGCACGAGGTCACGGCTTCGCCATGATGGATGTAGCAAAAACCCTCGCCGGCAGTAGCAAAATCTATCTATGGTTGAAGCTTTTTTAGTTGGGCAGTGCCGATTGAAGCTTTTCTATCTATGTATGGTTGAAGCTTTTTTCAACTGTGGTTGAAGCTTTTTCGATCTGCCGTTGAAGCTTTTCTTTCAACGGTTCCAACTTTTTCAATTTGCCAATGTTCAGTTGAAGCTTTTTTGTCTACTGCATGTAGCTTTTTACGGCAACGGATGTAGTTCGGGGCAGCTGTGGTTGCAGCTTAGTCTTCACGACTTCACGAGGTCCCAGATCCGACACAAGCTGGTTCCAGCAAAAATGGACGCTGGTCACAGCTCTTTTGGCCGCTGGTTGTAGCTCGCTTATCTGCCCCCACAAACAGCGCCCATCTCCTCTCGCAGGGGCGGTGAGTGCTCAAGTTTGCAATGATGTGACCTCCCATGCCAATGGAGATAGAAGTGTGGCAGTGGTGGTGCACCTCGCCATGCCCACAGGAGAGAGAGAAGAAGGAACGAGAGGAAGAAAGAAAACCAGAGAAAAGAGATGACAGTGCCATCGCGAGAGGAAAAAGTAAAATAGAAGGGAAAGGGATTGTGGCGGGCCCAGTTGACTAGTCAACTCACACGAGCGCGACGCGGGCCACTGGATGGCACGAGATCGCACGGCGCGCGCGCGACCGGCATAGTTTTCGGCCGGCGCGCCGTATACAAACATTTGCCTCGGCGGAGTGGTTAGCCGAAC